CACTTAAGGACATCTACTGACTAAGTCTTTCTCATCAAGGAAACACACAAATGGGTTCATATCATCTATTTTTCAATCTCCAGGAAACCTAGCTGTCTGTCTTTTCAGGTGCTCTGATTATCACCATGCTGGGCGGATTCCCTCAAATCCACAATTTTAGAGGCAGGATTACCCTAATCTTGTAGAGTACTTCAGGCACCCAGAAACCTTCATTGTTCTCAACTGAATTCAGAATAATTCAAGATTCCAACTAAGGCATTACCATTAGCTGGATTTTTATCCCTTGTTTAAGAAAGGGCAGCAGGAGTCTCTAAAATCATGCATCTTGACTACCTTTAATTTCACTAATGAAAGCTCATTTCCAACATTCAGTATAATAGGATAATTGGCCCCAATTTTTTACCACTTATGGCATTTATTGATCTAAATCATTCAGTGTCAAGAGCTCAAAGATGAGTGGATAAGCAAACAACTTGAAGTACGCATTCTCAGAGTTAAACTTCCTGACTAGGACTCCTACTAACCACCCCTTGGTCTTCTCATTCTTTATTTGAAGGCTTGGAGATACTGAGCTGTAGAAACAAAACCCCAAAATAAGTGTCTATTTTGAAATTAAAAAAAAAAAATTACAGACATTGTAACACCTGCACTTTAAATTTGGAAAACATATGCTCATTAAATGTTTATGTTTCAGAGTTAAATGAGGCTAGATTTGACTCCTAGCTTGATCAGTCACTGTCTTGCTGAAATTTGTGGAAATTTTTAACATCTATGAACCTCAGTTTTCTCATATGAAAATAGGACTTACATTAGTTATTCATGGAGATGTTATGACGAGTAAATGAGATAATATACGTAAATAACACAGGCTTTAGAATCCAGCACTCAGTAAATGCTCAATAAATAAAATATCATTATTGATGTTGTTATTGCACTATGTATGTAATGGTTTGTAAGTTTGCTCTGATCCACAGATGGTTCCTGCTTTATGCTGATCCTGTTGATGGAAACCCCAGACTGAGGTTCAATGGAAAGCAAATTATAAAAGTAGCTTCTCTATTCTTTTATATTCCACATAGTAATGCAATTTTATTGACAGAAGTTATCTTTAGGGACTATCTCTTTAAAATTAGTTAATCCAAGTGCTTCCATATAGCAGAAGGATTTGGGTGCTTCAAATATGCTCCTGGGCCAATGAAGAGATAGCAGAAATATATTCCAAACAAAGGAAATAGCATAGGTCTAAACATCTGCTGTGGGAAGAAGCATGGAATGGTAAACCTAAGATCTGAAGGATGGTCAGTGAGAAGAGACATAAAGGGTGAAAGCAAACCGGGATGTAAGACATGATTACACTCTTGTATTCATCTCACCTTATCTGGCTACTTCCCCAAACTCTCTTTATACACCAGGACCAACATAAGAGAGTAACCCTGTTGAGGTCAGGAAGTATTTTATGAACACATTCATTGTAAATTCCAAGGATTTAGAATCCTGTGGGAATCTCAGATTATACTCCTGATAACTGACTAAGAGGTTTAATTTAAAAATGAAAATTTTATAAGATTAGAGAAGAAACTGTTTCAAGATTCTGCTCAACCCTGTAATTATATTGTGGGACGAAGCAAGGAATCAGAACACGAACTTGGTACTCTGGGTGAGGAACTGCTGGATGGGTTGAGTAGAAACAGCTGAGAAGGCTGAAGAGAGCTCTGAGGTGGAGGTGGGTTGAACATTAGAGTTAGTGGCAGCTGGTACTGGTGCTGTAGTAGGTTCATCCTTTTGGAGTCATAAGTTTGGGTGATTGTTTCTTTCGTTTTATGAAAGAATATAGTTTTTCTTTTTTTCCTGGTTAATGGTTGTCAATATAAGATGAAGCACAATGCTTTTCTCTCTATCACTCTCTCTCTTTTTTTCCCTTCCCCTTTATTTCTATTTCTTTTGAACAGGATCCACACTCTGTCAATTTTTCTCTGGAATAATAGCATGGAATCACATTTCGGAAACCCCACTCATGTCCCCACCAAAACCAGCATTACACTCTTCATTCTGAAAAAGTAAAAACTAAGGTGATTGAAATTTCACTGGTCTAGGATGGAGTCCTGGCTCTACATCTGCTGCAAACTAACCGAAGCCAACACGGTGGTGTACAACTGTTAAGATTGTTTTTCTGTAGATAACCCTATCGTGTTATAAAAGAAGTCTCAGAACAAAGTCTGCTGCATTAATGGAAGTTTATACACAAATGGGTTCCTATCATCTGCTCTTCAGTCTCCCATAAATCCAACTCTTAGCCCTTTTTGATGCTCTGGTCACCACTGTGCCAGAGGATTCTCTCAAACTTGCAATTCCGGAGGCAAGACTCTGATATTCTTGTAGTCTGCACCAGGCAACCAGAATCCTTCAAGATTCTCAACCTTAATCAGAAATATTCAAGATCCATCTAGTTCATTGCCATTAGCTAGATTTTTGGTAGCATCTCTCAGATATTTCTTGAGTATCTTTAATTTTACTAATGAAAGGTCATTTCTAACATTCAGTATACTAAAGCAATTGGCTTTAGTTTTTACTGCTTCAATAGTGTAATCATACAGTGACCATTGTTGATAGGTAGATGAGAGAACAGCATGAAGTACTGAGTTTTAGAGTGTGGCTTCACAGTACAATACAACCTGATCCCCATTGGTCAGCTCATTCTTATTGTAAGGCTTCCAGAACCTGGACTATGGAAAGAAACCCAACACAGGACACTGTCTATTCTGAAATTTAAAAAAATAAGTTAGAAATATTGTAACATCTGGACTTTGACTCTGGAAACAATATGGACCTATTAAATGCTCAAGTTTTAGAGCTGAATAGGCTGAATTTGAATCCTGGCTCCAACAGTCACTATCTTTGTGACTTTGGGTAAGATTTTTAGCCTCTATAAACCTCAGTTTTTTATTTTTTATTTTTTAAAATGGAACTTAGAGTAACATTATGATGGAGGTGTTATGAAGAATAAATGAGATAATGTACATGAATAATGCAGGTTTTAGAATCTAGAACTTAGGAAATGCTAAAAAACCAGAAATGTCATTATCATCATTATCATTATTATTGTTATTCTATGATATATCCAAGGGTTTGTATGTCTTCTCTGGTCCATAGATATTTCCTCTTGTTTGATTGAAACTTTACATAGAGGGCGAATGGGAAGCATTCTATATATAAAAAAAAAGCTTCTCTATTTACTTCTTCCCCATGTAGTAATGTAATCTCACTGACATAAGCATCTTTAGAGATTATCTCTTCAAAATTAGTTAAACCAAGTGTGTACATTTCATCAGAAGGATTTGAGTGACTCATATATAATATTTAGTTGGATAAAATCTTAAAATAGTAACTGATTTTTGTTCCTTAGGGAATATGTTCCTACTCACACAATCTTCACAAATAATCTCATTCTGTGTTCTTTGTTTCAAGAGAGACATAGTAGTATAAATAAAGAGTAATAAGGGTTAATTTCTGGCTTTGAATCCAAAAAACATAAAGATCCCCTGTAATGGAGCACAACTTTGGAAAGAACTGATTAGAAAGAGCAAATCTTCTCTGTTCAACTAATGAGCCACAAAGAGAATGGTCAGACATGCTTTTTGCGGCCTTTTAGGGAAGTATCTGGACCCCAAAGAATAAATGACTGAATGCTGTACTTAGTTGTTTGAGACCATGGAGGCACGTGACCTTCCTGGGATTCCTGTGGTCGAGGGGGGTTCAAGAGATCAGAATTATTCCTATGGATATATAAATGTTTATACTGCATATTTAGGCAAGTGGGCTTCTAGGAATCATCACATAGTACCTTCCAAGTCAATGTAATGTGTATGGAAAATGCACAGATGTTGATAGGTCCATATTATGTCATTGAATTAGCAGAGAGACAATAAGCCTAGAGGAAATGACTAGACAAAGTTTGAATCCATGGTCCAAGATGGTAAAAATGCTCCTTAAAACCTGTAGAAACTATAGAGGTAAATACAGACTCTTGGAACTAACAACACAAATATAACAACAACAGCAATTAAGACTCTACATAGGAAGCCAGTCTTCTACTGGTATGTGTGGGATAATGGTGAAGGCTGAAGGTCAGAGTGCAGCTTGGGCTTTGAGTGAGAAACTATACTAGAAAATAGTGATTTATATCTCCTCTTGCTTTTTCTTCAAACTCCCTGCCAATTCACCACAGATAGAGGCTTCTGAGACCCATGGGCTGTTGACTAGAGGGGATATTTCAAGGCAGAGCAAAAGCAGACTTGGAGAGGAGTTGATGAACATAGATATGAACTCTTTTTTCTACCCTTGGCTTTTCTTCCCCAGGGTCCAGGTAACCGATTATCTGAGTGTTGCATACTACAGAAGTAAAACATACATTTATTACAGATGAGATAAGTGTATAAAGCAAAAGTAAATGTATCAGTGAAACAAGCGCTGGAGGACCTGATATATTCTGAGAGATGGGTAACAGAGAGGACTTGCCTAAGGAAAATATTTAGGCTGGCATTTAAAGAGACTTGGGCCAAGGAACAGACAAGAGAAAGAGATTCAAAACAAAGGATGTAGCATATGTAAAAATACCAGAAGTGGGAAGGAGCATGGACTGTTGAAAATTAGTCTTGAAGTACGGTCAGTGGACAAAAGGAAAAAGGGAACGTAAGAAATAAAAACACTCTCGTATTCCTCTCTACTTGTCTGGCTACTTCCTCACACTCTTTCTTCACTTGGACCATCATAAGACAGTAACTCTGTTATGATCAGAAATTTCATGAATGCATATTGTGAATAGCAAAGTACTTAAAATCCTGCTGAATCTCAAATTATGCACCTGATAATTGAATGAGAAATTTATCTAAATCAAGAAATTGTTATAGTATAGGACTAGAGGAGAAGCTCTTTCAAGATTCTCATTACCCTTGTAATTATGTTGTAAGTAGACACAAAGAATCAAAACATGAACTTGGTACCTGGTTTAAGGAACTGTTGGGTGGTGTAAGTAGAAGCATCTGAGGAGGCTGAGGAAGGCTCATAGATGGAGGTGGGATGTACACTACAGTTTGAGGCAACTGGTGCTGCTTCTGGGGTAGGTTCATTCCTTTGGAGTCAGAAGCTTGGGTACTTGTTGTTTTCATGTTCTGAAAATAATAGTTTTTTTCCCCCTGGTTAATGGTTGCGAATAAGAAATGAAGCACAATATCTATATTTTTATTTTTTGAATAAGATCCCCACTCTACCACTTTTCCCCCCCTGGAATAATAGCACATATTCAGACTCTCTAAGCACTTTCCCTGCTCCTACCATAACCTGAATTACAAATTTCTCTCTGAAAATGTCAAAACCCAGGTGACTGAAATTTCATTGGTGTGGGATGAAGTCCTGGCTCTACATCTTCTGCAAACTGACCTAAGGCAACATAGCGAAGCAGCACTCTTGGGGTTATTATATATGGCCTCAGATCAATGCCTACTGTACTTATGGATGCTTATTAACATCTAGCTTGTATACAAATGGGTTCCTACCATCTACTTTTTGAACTCCAAGTAACAAAACTGTTCATCTTTTTGTATGCTCTGATCATCACTTGAGCAAGGCAGATTCTCCCAAAGCCACAATTTTAGAGGTAGGATTCTGGCAACTTTGTAGTCTGAATCAGGTAATGAGAATTCTACAGGGAACCAAATAGTTGGAATACTTCAAGATTCCACCTAGGGCATTATTATTAGCTGGATGTTTATACCTTGTATAAGAAAGGGAAGAGAGTGTCTCTAACATCTTACATCTTGATGACTTTAATTCCACTAATGAAAACCCATAACTAACTTTCAGCCTACCAGGTCAATTAGCACCAGTTATTACACTTCTGTCATTCAGTAATCTAATTCATAAGGGGACCCTTGCTGACTGATAGTGGGTGAGTGAACAGCTTAAAGTTTCTGCTTTTAGAGTGAGGCTTCCAGACTAGTACTGCTACTGGCCACCCTTGGGCACCTCATTTCTCATGTAAAGTCTTGCAGGACTTGGACTATGGAAACAAATAAAAAAAATAACACTATCTATTCTGAAAATTTTAATAGAAAATTGCAGACATTGCAGCATCTGCCCTCAGACTCTGGAAGCAATATATGCCCATTAAAATGCTTATGTTTTAGAGCTGAAGAAGGCTGGATTTGAATCCTGGCTCGACAGTTACTATCTTTTTTACCATCTTTTTTGACCTTGTGCAAAATATTTAACCTCTATGAACCTCAGTTTTCTCATAGGTGAAACGAGACTTTGTGAGGATGTTACAAAGAATAAAAGAGACAATTTACATAAGGAACAAAGGTTTTAGAATCTAGTACCAATTAAAACCTCAATAAATAGAAATATCATTATTGTCATTGCACAATCTATGAAGGAGTTTCTACATTGATTCTGATACACCAAATGCTTCCTGATTTAGACTGACATGTCAATTGAAAACACAGATCTAGGTGCTATGGGGAGCACTTCCTAAAAGAAGCTTCTCTATTAACTTCTAGCATATGTAGTAATGTAATACCATTGACAGGAGTACTTTCGACAATTATATCTTCAAAATTGATTAAACTAATACCTTAATTACAGCACAAAGATTTGCGTGCCTAAAATATATTTTTTAGTTGGATAATATTTAAAATAGTAACTAAATTTTGTTCCTCAGAGGAATCTCTTCCCTACTCTATCTTATTCATAAATCATGCCATTCTGTGCTCTTTGCTTCAAGCAAGACATGGCAGTCGAAACCAAAGGTAATAATGGCCTGCTTCTGGTTTTGAATCCAAGAGAAAAAAGAACCCAATGGATAGAAAAGAACTTTGTGAGAATTTATGATGAGTGAACAAGGCTTTCCTGTCAATTAGTGGGTCACAGAGAGAGTATTCAGACATCCATAAAGTTACCGTAAGTTGGAGCCCACTTGATGGAAACTAACAACAGAGAGCTGATTAGATCCCAAAAAAATAAATGGGGTGCATCGTGTTTTTAGGTGTATGAGGCCTTGAAGATATATGACCCTCACTGGGATTCCTCTGTTTAAAGGTGGTAAGGGGGGTTCAGGCTCAGCAGAATTACTCCTATTGATGTACAAATGACCATGTCACATATTTAGACAAGCGAGACCTTAGAAAGGGTAACACAATCCCTTTCAAGTAAGTATATGTGAGAAAAACAGATGTATCCTGAGAGGTTCCCATAATGTCATTGGAATAACAGAGAGACAGTGGTCCTGACATGGTAACGTCTAGACAAGGGATCCCTCCATGACCACCTAGGCCAAGATGGCAAACAGACACAGGCTGCTAGCTCCATCCTAGCAATTAAAGCCTGTAGAAACTATAGAGGGAAATACGGATTCTTGGGACTAACAACAACAGCAAACACAAGAAAAATAAAAACAATTGAGAACCACTGTATATAGGAAGCCTGTCCTCTAATGGTATGTGAGATGGTGGTGGGTTCCACAGCCTGGGTGAGAGTGAGGCTTGGTGCTTGAGTGAGAAACTGTATTAGAAAACAGTGATTCAGTATCTTCTCTTGCTTTTTCCTCAAGTTGCCTATCCATTCATCAGAGATACAGGCTTCTGTGCCCTGGGTGTCTTTGACCACAGGGACACGTTATGGAAGAGTAAATGGCCTGGTGAGGTAGAAGTTGATGAACACAGATGTGAACTAACTTTTTCATCCTTTGTCTTCTGTTTCCATGGATCTGGATACTTATTATCTGATGTTATTGTCTAGTAGAGAAGTAAATATACATTTATTGCAGTTGTGATTAGTGTTTTAGGGAAGTAAAGGAATAAGTGAAAGCAAATAATGGAGATCTGATCTACTGTGGGAGATAGATAGGCTTCAGGACTTGCTTGAGCATCAGATTTAGGCTGGCACTTAAAGGGAATTGCACCAGTGAAGAAGTAGTAGAAAGGGATTTCAAACAAAGGATGTAGCAGAGGTCAAAACAACTAATGTGGGGAGGAGCGTGGAATGTTGAACCTAAGCCCTGAAATAAGGTCAGTGAGCAAAGAGTAAAAGGAAAGTGGGATGTAGGGCATAAACACACTCTGGTATTCATCTCTCCTTGTCTGGCTACTTCCCCCCATATCTCTACATCTGTAACAAAATAAGACAGTAACCCTGTTGAGGCCAGGAGTTATTTCATGAAAGCATATGTTACAAATTACAAAGGACTTAGAATCTTGTGGGGTGTCAAATTATACACTTGATAATTGAATAAGACATTTAATTAAATAAAAAAAAAGTTTTAATCTATGATAGAAGAGAAGCCCTCAAGATTCTGATCACTCCATGTTGTAGGGAGGCAAAAGGAATAGGAATAGGAACTTGGTACCTGGGTAAAGAAACTGCTGGATGGGGTGAGTAGAAGCATCTGAGGAGTCTGATGAAGGCTATGAGGTGGAGGTGGGATGGTCACTAGAGTTTGTGGCAATTGGTACTGCTCCTGGGGTAGCTTGATCCTTTCAGTGTCATAAGTTTCAGGGATTGCATATTTCATTTCCTAAAATAATATAGATGTATTTTTTATTGTTAATGGCTTCAAATATGAGATGAAGCATGATACATTTTTCTTTTTTTCCTTTTGAACAGGATTCTCACTCTGCCACTTTTCTCTGGATTAATAGTACAGCATTACATTCTCTAAATCACTCCCGTGCTCCCACTGCAAGAAAGCATACAACCTTCACATGAAAAGATCAAAACTCAGATGATTGAAATTTCATTGATCTGGGATAGATTCGTGGCTCTACATCTCATGCAAACTGGCCTAATCCAGCATGGTGACATACAATTCTTGGGGTTGTTTTTATGGTAGATAATACTACCAGTTGGAAAGGAAGAATGTCTCAGAAAAAGTTGACTGCATTTATGGAAGTTTTTACACAGATGTCTTTCTATAATCTCTTCTTCACTATCCAAGAAATATAGATCTTTATTCTTTTGGCTGCTATAATCACCATGATCCCAGGAAGATTCTCTTTAAGTCGCCATTCCAGAGGCAGGATTGTCATATCCTTGTAGTCTGCATTAGAGAACTAGAATACTTCAGGGTTCTCAAATGTATTCAGAATATTCAAGATTCCACCTAAGACATTACCATTAACTAGATTTTTAATTGTTTTAAGCTGGGTGGAGAGTGTCTGTAAAATCACATATGCTGACTAAACTTAATTTCACTGATAAAAGTCTATTTCTAAGGTCACCATACTAGGTAAATTGGCCTAGTACTTTAGGACATCTGGCATTTGGTAAATCTAATTTGTACAGTGCCATCTATTGATAAAGGAGCCCTGGTGGTACAGTGGTTAAGTGCTTGGCTGCTAACCAGAAGGTTGAAAGATGTGACAGTCTGATTCCATAAAGATTAAACAAACAAACAAAAAATCTCATTGCATCAATTCAGACTCATAGAAACCCTATAGTGCAGAGTAGAACTGCCCCATAGGGTTTCCAAGGAGTGGGTGGTGATTTGAACTGCCAACATCTTGGTTAGCAGCCATAACACTTAACCACTGTACCACTGGGGCTCCACTCTAAATGTTATGTCCTTGGAAACCTTATGGGGCAGTTCTACTCTGTCCTACAGGGTTGCTATGAGTTGGAATTGACTCAATGCCACCGCGTTTTGTTTTGGTTTTGAACCTGTTGATAGGTAATGTGGCTAAAGAGCAGCTTAAACTGGCTTCCTAGTACAATACCTTTGACCCTTATTGATCAGCTTACTTCTTATTTGAAGGATTGCAGAACCTGGGCTACGGAAAGAAACCAGAAAAAAATACTGGGCTGATTCTGAAATATTTAAAGGTAAATAGCAGACATTGTAACATCTGCACTTTGGCTTTGGAAGCAATATAATAGACCCATTAAAATCTCAAGAGTTTGAATAAGGCTGGATTTGAATCTTATCTCTAACATTCACTATCTTTGCCACCTTGAGTATGATTTTTAACATTTATCAACCTCATTTTCCTCATTTGTGAAATGGGACTTAGAGTAGCAGCCTCATGGAGGTGTTAAGGAGAATAAATGACATACTGTACATAAATAACATAGGTTTTAGAATGCAGCACCCAGTAAAAACTCAATAAATAAAAATATCATTATTATTATTATTATTATTATTATTGTCATTGTTATATAATGGTCTATGCAGGGATTTATATGTCTGCTCTGACCCACAGATGTTTCTGGCTTCATGCTGACTCTTTTACTGGAAATACCAGCTCAAGCTCTTAAAAAAAAAAAATATTTCATCAAATCGAATCTGATTCAGAGCAACCCTATAGAACACAGTAGAACTGTCCCATAGGATTTCCAAGGAGCGGCTTGTAGAAGATTTGAACTGCTGACCTTTTGGTTAGCAGCCAAGCTCTTAACCACTGCACCACCAGGGCTCTGATCAAGACCTAGTATAAAGCATTTTGTATAAAAGAAGTTTCTCTATTCACTTGTGCTCCATGAAATAATGTAATCTCATTGACATGAACATCTTGAAGGATTATCTTTTCATAATCACATAAATGAAATGCCTCCATTACATAAAATTTTTGTGCCTAAAGTAAAATATTTAGTTAGACAATATATTTCAAATAGTATTTGATTTTTACTCCTCAGAGTAATTTTTTCTCTACTCCCAGATGCCGGTGACCACAAGAGACATGTAACATCAGAGCAAAAAGTAAGCTGGGTAGGAATTTGATGAATACAGATGTGAACTCACTTTTCCACCCTTGTCTCCTGGGTCTAGATATCGATTAACTTATTATCTAATAGGGAAGGAAAACATACATTTACCAGAGTTGTGATAGACAGTCTGGGTGGCACAAACAGTTAAGCACTGTACTGCTAGCTGAAAGGTGGGCAATTTGAAGTCACCCAGAGACATCTCAGAAGACAGGCTTGGCGATCTGCTTCCGAAAGGTCACAGACTTGAAAACACTAAGGAGCAGTTCTACTCTGCATACATATGGTCGCCATGAGTCAACTAACAGCAACAACAACAGAGTTGTGATTAGTGTTACAAAAGTAAAGGGATCACTGAAAGCAAACAATGGGTCTGATCTATTCTGAGAGGGATACCTTTGAGGAATTTCCTGAGGAAGGAACTTAGGGTGCACCTGAAGAAATTCAGCCAGTGAAAAGACAGGAGAAAGAGATTCCAAACAAAGGACATAAAAAGATCTGATGTGGTGGAACATGGACTATTGAAAATTAGCCCTTAAGCATGATTAGTGAGCAGAAAGGAAAAGGGTGAAAAGGAACTGGAATGTTGTGATGAACATACTTTTTTATCCATCTCAGTTGGGCTAATTCCCAAAACTATCTTTCTAAATATGGAGTAAAATAAGCCACTAACATTCTTGAGGTCAGAAATTATTTTATGAAGGCATATGTTGTAAATAGCAAAGTAGTTAGAATCTTGTTGAATCTTAAATTATGCAATTGATAGTTGAATGAGTTGTTTGAATTAAAAAAGAAATATTACAGTATAGGACTAGAGAAGTTCTTTCAAAATTCTAATCACTCATAATTATGTGCTATCCTTGTAGTCGTTATGAGTTAGAAATGACTCAACAGCAATGGGTTTTTTTTTTTTTTTAATCTTAGTCATCTGCATCAGACCACCAGAATCCTTCTGACTTCTCAACTGTATTCAGAATTATTCAAGATTCTACCTAAAATATTACTGTTAGCTGGATTTGTATTCTCTGTTTAAACAATGGTGTGGAGTGTCTCGAAAATCAAGTACCTTGACTACCTTTAATTTCATTAATGAAGGTCCATTTATAACATTCATAATTCAATGGTGTGTTCTTGAACATGGAGAAATATGAGCCTTCCTTGGATTTCTATGCTCAAAGAGGCTCTAGGTTCAACAGAATTATTCTTATGGATGTAGAAATGGCTTTGTTATCTATTTAGAGAGATTGAACAACCCATTGCTGTCAAGGTGATTCGGACTCATAGCTACTCTACAGGTCAGAGTAGAATGTCCCCGTAGGTTTTCCAAGGCCATAAATTTTTATAGAAGCAGACTACCGTATCTTTCTCCCATGGAGCAGCTGGTGGGTTTGAAACACCAACCTTCCAGTTAGCAGTCAAGTGCTTAATTACTGCACCAGCAGGCTCCTCTTTTTGACAAGTAAGACCTGATAAAGCATCAAATAGTCCCTTTCAAATCAGTATGTATAAGAAAAGCAGAGTTGCCCTCAGTTGCCTACTAAGTCATTGAAGTAGTCGAGAGACAATGGACTTGAGGTGGTAATGACTAGACTGGGTTCCATCCATGATCACCTGGTCCAACATAGCAAACAGGTACAGGCTGCAGGCTCCATCCACCAATTAAAACCTGTAGAAACTATAGAGGGAAATATGGATTTCTGGAAGTAGCAAGAGTAAAAACGATAATAACAACAAAACAAAACAACATTTAAAAACTGCTGTCTATAGGGTGGCTATGAGTCAGAATCAACTCAATGGCAATGTTTTTTTTTTTTAATCTATAGGAACACCCTCTACAACTAGTGTGTGTGGGGTGGTGGAAGAGCTGCAGTCTGGTCAGGGTGTAGCTTGGGGCTTGGGTGAAAAACTATATTCAAAAATGTTGGTTTAAATTCTCCTCTGCTTTTCCCTCAAGTTGTCTGACCATTTGTTACAGATATAGGTTTCTAGACCTGGGTTCCATTGCCCACAGGAATTATATCCTGTCACAGTAAAAGGCAGGCTGGGACAGGAATTGATGAACATAGATGTGATGTCACTTTTTTACCCTTGTCTTTTCTTCCCATGGTACAAGGTACCCAAAATCTTACCTTATTATCTAGCTGGGAAGTAAAACATACACTGATTTCAGTTGTGATAAGTTCTATAAACAGAAGTGAAGGGATATGTGATAGCAAAAAATGGAAGACTTGATCTATTCTGGCAGTGGGTTATCAGTGAGGACTTGCTCCAGGAACGGATTTAGGTTGGCACCTGAATAGACTTGGGCCTATGGAGAGACAGGAGAATGGAATCCAAGCAAAGGAGCAAGCATGTATCAAAACAACCGCTGTGGTAGGAGCATAGTATGATGAAAATAAATTCTGAAATATGTTCAGTGAGCAAAGGGGAAAGGGGTAGAAGGAAACTGGAAAGTAATGGATGAATATACTCTGGTATTCATCTCTAATTATCTGGCCCTTCCCCCTCCCTCTCTCTACAGCTGGACCAAGAAAAGACTGTAAGCCACTTGAAGTCAGGAATTACTTAATAAATGCACACCTCATCAATTGCAAAGGACTTAAAATATAGTAAAATTTCAATATATGCATTTGATAAATGAATGAGTGATTTTATTAAAATATAGATAACATGACTGAACTCAAATAAAGATAAAATGATAGTGCAGTTCCAAGATGATGGAGTAATCAGACACATCATAATGTCCCTCTTACACAACAAAGGCCAAAAAAGCCCCCAAGTGAATCAGATATAGATAATAACTAAGGAACCCTAAGC